ACGGTTATCTCGAATCCATCTTAACATCACAGATCTAGACAAATTGCCTTGACAAGCCAATGATTTCCATGGGGCTACAGTGTAACTTCAGAGAAGCAAAAGAGGAACAAGTGTTCACACACCTATTTTAGCAACAGCCCAGTCAAATTTTATACTGACCAACTCCTTTTCCTATAAACCATAGGAACAAAACATAACCACTAAATGTAACTACTCTGAACCACATGAATTCAACTTTGAAAACACAAATGTTGATAGATGCCTCTCTCTGCCTGTATCCAGTGGCCTGCAGGAAAGCTCTGGACAGCACCACAGTGGCAGCTCACGAATCCGAAATCTACTGCAAAACCTGTTACGGGAGAAAATACGGTCCCAAAGGTGTTGGCTTTGGACAGGGGGCCGGATGCCTCAGCACTGACACTGGTGACCACCTGGGCTTGAACCTGCAACAGTGAGTCAAACCCCACTGACAGCACCTTTCTCTGGTCCTACTTGTCTCTTAGCAGGGTATTTTAGATATTTTATTCTGTTTCCATAACAACATCCAGCGTAAGTAGCAGAGCAGACTTTCCTACACCCTTTCCTTCCAGGGACACAGTAATTTACCAGTTTTTAATGATGCTCAGTCTCTTTAAGCCTTCTTTACAAATTATTTTCTCCTTCAATAGGCAATTATTGTGCAGAAGCAGCCTTTATATGCCACCACAGCTGTAAATATCCACTGCAATTGTATGCTGCCATTTGTAGCACAGTGGTAAAGTCACATTCACTGCAGAAAATGAGAAAATATATATATATATTTTTTTTTCCTGTCAGAGGCTAAAATCCAGTTTGGTTTTACTCTTAGAGAAATAATCGCACTACCACATACTGCTAGCTCTCCTCTCAGTGGGGGAAATAACATTTCTAAATCCTCCCTGTGGCTTTAATAATACTTACAAACACACTGAAGAACGTGTTTGAACAAAGGAATTCTAATGGGATACCATCTTCCAAAAACACATAATTAGCTCTGACAGTACATTTTTACAGAATTTTTGTTTTTTACGACTCTCAAAGCTGCACATTTCCAAATCAGCAATGCTTCCTTCTAATGGTATAACTATAAGGAAACCAATTAACCAATATGCTGTGTAGGGAATAAAAGCTTAAACAATGTATTCAAATGTGGCTCCTTGTGCGATATGAAGCCATTATTGGCAGAGTTCTGCATCAAAAACTGTCACATCCTGTAGATATAATGACCTGTTGCAGTCCAACAATCCAGTAATTCAGAAATCATTCTGTGAAAGGCTTCACGCATAAGCCCACAATACACAATGTCCAGAAACACAAAGCAAAGCTACTTTTCTGACGTGCTTTTGACCCTGGTCCAGGTAAAAACCCCAATTCCCTTGTCCAAATGTTTCACTGCCTAATGAAACATCTGTATGCAAAAATCTGTATTTTTATTTTCTACTCATTGAGTAACAGCAGACAGCCAGTTATAAAGAAGAGAGTGGTCTTCCGCTTGTATTTTCCCTCTTGCCTTTCCATAAAACAAAGTTGTTTTTTACTTTCACTTTTCATTAAATGCAATTTTTTCTGCATTTGGCTGCTGTCAGCTCCATGTACTCAGCCCAGAACAGGTAACATCAGAGCTTACAGTACCAGCTTTTCCATCACACAACACAGAATTCACTAGAATACTTTGATTTTCTCCTTTTTTATCCCTAGTTTGCACAATAGAGAACGGCAATTCAGTATTTTTCATCCCTTACCAAAAACCCCATGAAATACTTTTTCTAAGGTAGGTAACATTTGAAGCAGCATTTAAAAAGCACTGAAACCTTGTGTTTTAGGGGGTCACCAAAGCCTGCTCGCCCTTCTACACCAACTAATGCTTCAAAGTTTGCCAAAAAGATGGTAGATGTGGATAAATGTCCCCGTTGTGGCAAATCAGTGTATGCTGCAGAGAAGATCATGGGAGGAGGAAAAGTAAGTAGTTACTTCAGCACTAGAAACAAAACTGTTTTATAATGGTGATAAACTGTAGCTAATAGGTCCTTCATCATTTAAATTTTCATTCATAGTCTCGATGAAGAAAACATGAAGCAGCAAATTGCTTGAGTTGTATGTACTTTCAGGGATGTACTTTCAGGTCTAAAATCATGTGCCTTTTGTAAACCTTCTTCAACTTTTCCCTTCTTATTGATGTCTGAAGAACAACCCCTGACTACTGGCTCTTCCTCCACCTTTGGGGGATATTTATGAACATTTATTTGTAGTGGCAATTACAGACACATTAAAGAGATCCTGTAACTAGAAAAACAGAATCCTTTCTCAAATGACATGCAAACCTCTCTGCTCGAGGAACTCCTACTAGAACGTGATCTGTGCACACTGAAGAAGTGGCCAAAATAAGGGTAGTATCTCCAGCTCCCTGCTTTTTACTAGACCTCCATTAATAACTGTGCATCAATAACAAAGTCACTCGGTAACTCTTGACATGGCGCAATAATGTAACTGAAAAAAGACTAACCTGGAATGACTAAAAATGGAAGCCACGAGATCAACAAAAAGATTTTAACCTTTTCACACTGTAAAAAGCAGTCGTTCTTCATTTCTTGTACCTGTGCACTTTCTGTAATATACAATGAATTGTCTTCATCTCCTCAGCCTTGGCACAAGACGTGTTTCCGCTGCGCTATTTGTGGGAAGAGTTTAGAATCCACGAATGTTACAGACAAAGATGGAGAGCTCTACTGTAAAGGTGAGAGTTCAAGAGAGCTGAACTGGGTTACTGAGTCAATCTAAAATTAGTCTCTTCAGACCTAGGAAAACCAACTTCAGGAAATTTCGTTTTATCTTTTTTTTAACAACTTTCTGAAAGCAAAGCAAAGAGCCGTGGTAACATTGCAATTGCAGCTTATACTATTAACATTTAAAGTTTAAAGCTGTAATTTTTCTACAAATATCTCTCAGATCTACCCTCAGATCTTCTAACAGAATATTGGCCATCTCTGCTGGGCAGGCTCTTGTACCTGCACCATCTCACTCACTGAAATAAGAAATCCACATAGATACAGATCTTCAGAGGTCATCTGGAATTCTTGACAATTAAAGATACTTCCACTGTATTGATAGCACAGAAGATAATGCACTGATGCTAAATTATACATCTAGATGTTCTCAAATTCTGAAAGTTCACAGACTTCACTTGACTCTCAGAAATGTCTTAAGGGGAAAAAATATGCCAAGGTTTTATATCCCAAGCTAAACTTTATAGAGAGCCCTAAAGAAGAATATTGAAGTTCTGTGACCTTGGGTACAGTTTGTCAGCCACAAGTGATCAAATCATCACATCTGGAGAAACATGCTGACCATTACTACTTCCCTAGCAGAGCTGTGATAAAAAACTATGCACACACTTACCAATACACAGTTCAAATGGAATGGTTTAAATGCTCATCAATAGTTTCAGAACTATGCTCCAGTTCTTTTACCTTCTGGAAAATCTCTGACTCATTACTCAGCCTGAATTACTCACCAGACCAAGTTTTACTGAGTATTTTCTGACAGGAAAGTAGCTTTAATGAAAACATTACTTCGATCTTAAATCTATAGTTAATTTCTTAATTTTTTTGAGATCACCAGATGTGACTTTTGTGTAATTCAAATACGTGATTTCAGTTTCACTGCTAAAACCTGCCAACACTTGTGGGAAATAAGCTATTTCAGATTTCCTTCCTTTTATTAACTTAAATTTGGTAGTGATCTAAAAACTAAAACCAAAAGACATTTACCCCTACCTGAGAACATTTAGAATTCAAAAACATTTATCTCCCCCTCCTTCTTTTGCAGTTTGCTATGCAAAAAATTTCGGTCCCAAAGGAATTGGGTTTGGTGGTCTTACTCAAGTGGAAAAGAAAGAATGTGAATGAGAAGAAATGGATGCAACAGTCTCAAACTGATGTTGACGCCACCAAGTGATAGTTGTCAAGTAAAACATTAAACATCATATATTGCTAAGAACATAGGGCAAGATTTTCCACCTTGCAGGAAGAATTTGTGAGCTTGTATCTTAAATTCTTAGATTAGATTAAAAAGGTACAGTGATAAAAGAAGGTTCATGTCTGTTTTACAGTAAACTAAGACAAAAAACCCTTGTGTAATATTATTGCTTCTTAAACTAGTATTTAGTACAGTTTAGACTGGAGTTTTAGACTCAGCTTAGTGTCCCATAGAGATACCTTATGGAGTGCAGGGTCTGAGTGTTTGAGTTAGACTTGTGTTTTCCTTTGTCCACAATGTTACTCTATTCCTACCAATCTCCTAGATGTGTTTTGAACATGTTGGCATTTTGTGTTGTGACAAGGTAGAGGTTATTCACTTTGAGACAATTAAAAAGGGTTTGAAATTCTTTCTATCAAAGAGAGGTATTTCCACAGAAAAACAAAACTTTCCTAGAATGCAGTGTTGTAAGTTTTGTTACTGTCTGTTTTCAAGCTACAGTAAAGTACTTACTGCTTCACATTATTTTCATTTGAATTTGCTTGTGCTTTTACATTCTACAATGTTGCAGATTTCAAGAGGAACGAAATCCCCCATTTCTTTACTACAAGAATTGCGTTTCATCGCACTACTTGACTTTTATGTTGTCAGTTCTAGATGGCATTTAATTTTCTGACCTTGATCTCTTTCCCTGTTGGTTTTCATGGCCAGCAACTTTGACTTATATTCACACCACAGTGTCCAAGTGGCCCTTCCAGACTGACACTGTAGCCTTTTCTTGACATTAGCCATTAAAGACCTATGCATGCAGCTGGGAACAATTCCCTCTTTTTATTTACATTGCTATTTTTCATCATGAACTTACCCATTTTCATACACTAACAGGGCATATATGTGGAAAACATAAGGCAGAGTCAGGCTTTCTCTTATGGTTTTGTGCCTACCTCCTCTTAAAAACCTCACTGGTCACATGCCCCTTGAATCTATTTCAGTCTGCAAAAATACACTTAGAAGTATGAAAGCTCTATTTTATTACATGTAAACCTTTCAAATACAAAGACTTAATGGAGGTTTTCACAGCATAAGAAACAAAATTACAGTATAACCATAACATGAAGTTTTAAAATATGAACATTCACCTTAATTTTCAAATGTAATTGTCTTTTATTATCTGCAAGGATAAAGCAGAGAGTACCAATGTGGTTTTGAAATTCTGCCCTAAAAACTTACTTTTAAAAAATATATTCTTAGTGTCCTCTCATCACATAAAATTTTAAATAGTTTCAGCTCAAACTACAAACACACAATGACTGTTCCATATACAAACCTGCTGTAGCTTATGCAAGATAAAGTTTAATATTTGAAACAATAATAAAACCAAGCAACTTCAGAAGAATTTGGAAAAATTAACAAAATATCCAGTTTTATTTAGCTTTCAGTTCAACCATTTTAGAAATTAAGCAAAACTTTACACAGAATGAACATTTTTCTCCTTTGCCAGATGAAAAACATTGTATTGCTTGGTCCAGTCAATTATGTTGGGTTTGAACATACCAAAGCAACTGCACTGAAAAAAGTCTGCAAGATTCTGGAAGCATCCAAGACTGAAAAGGAGAAAAATATGCATTAATAAACCTAAAAAAAGAAGACTGCAAGCATCAAAACTACACATTCACCACAAGACAGTACTTCAGATATAAACCTGTCAGTTTTAAAATTGTGAAGTTGGGTTTTTTTAATTAAACAGTTCTCTATTGAGTGTTATTCCTTTGCTGAACTTTTACAACCTGTTTTATGTTAACAAATGAGAGTAGATGAAGTTGAACTCAACTACTTAATAGTTAGTCCTTAGCAAGATCCCATCTGTTAACATATAAGGAAACAAAGAAACAGGGAAACCTTGGTACCAATTTCTCTAAGTACTACAAGAGAAGTTGTAAAGGGGCCAGTTCATGTCTTAGTTCTCTTTCTGATCCTACACAACAGACAGAGAGACTGATGAACAAATTAAAGGACAGCTCTCCCTCACTCCAAAATAGTGTCTACTGATTAGTGCTATGGACTGATTTTGGCACATCTTTTTCCTGTGCACACAGCCATGCACAAAAAAAATCCACAGGTCTTGTGCTGGTTGTTTATTTCCTAGAGAAAAGGAAGTTCTCAGTAAGGAAAACAAGGCCCACTTCCTCCTCTTAGCACAACTCTTAACAGGCATGACCAGCACATCATATTTTTGCATTTATGAAGCAGTGAAGCAAATCACTTAAAACACTCTGTTAATCAATACCCACTTGTATGGAGTTCTCCTGAGTGAAACAGGATGCTTAGAGGATTTTCTCTGTATCAGGAGATTCATTCTTTCATGAGAGGTCAGCCCCAAGAATGCAATCTTAGTGAAAGGAAAATGTAAGTAACGGTTACAACATGAACACCACAAATCAAAATTCTGGTGATGCAAAAAGACACTAATGAGAAAGGAGCTTGGCCATATCTAACTAATAAGTAACTACTGCTATAACTGATGACTGAGAAGTATGTTTTTAAATGTCACTTAGGCTAAAACAGAGCCCAGCAAGCTGTAACATGAATGCTCCCACTGAGAAGGCAAGCTTGATTGGGCTGTCTATAAAGACTGCACTTCCACACGTCTGCAGAAGTCTAAGATCCATCACAATTAGGCACCAATCTCCTCAGATTTTGTCTATATTCTACCACACAAAACGGTAGAAAAAGATCCCCTGAAAAAAGGCCAAAATACTTGAGCAAAAAAGAAGTACGTATTAGAGATTCAACAATAACTTTTCCCTTTTCTTGACTCTGTGTTTTCTTTCACTGAGGGTCAACAATGAACTGCGATTTCTTTTCTGTATATTTCCTTACCTATTCCATTTTTAAATTTTTTAATCAACGTGAATTTTATAAACCCTCATAAATGGCTGCAAGGGTCCTTCACTGAATGACACACTAAATATCACAAAGCAGTACATTTAGAAATGACTCTGTAGGAAACACAGTAGTTAACTGTAAATATCCGTCCTAGATCCTGTTTTTTTCCCCTAGCACAATATCTCAGTAACTTGGATACTGCAGGAATCTAGCAGTACACATTACAATTGTGCAGTTGTTTTTTTTTCTAATTAAACAAGATGTAAGACAAGTCTTTAGCTCAGTGTGCTTAACACATATTTCGGTGACATCTTTCCTAAAAGCTGCTAAACGAGCTGTTTCCCAGATGTTTTAGGACAGCTTTTCTTTGTTTGCATAGCCAAGCTCTCTCTGAGAAAAACACAAACAAGAAATTTGACAGTCCTCAACAAGATAAAATCCAAGTTATGTACTTTTATTGTTGCAATGGGATTTAATACAGTCTAATGACACACTGCTGAGCTCTGCCACTGAATTTTAAACTCTGGACTAATTGTGCTATTGAGCTTTTGTGTCATTTTTGGGGCACTAATACCGGTTCTATTTGTCAAATACATTTCTTTTCTTTAAATACTTTTTATAGGTTTGGAATTTTTGATGAGTAGTAAACCCAGAACTCAGCTGTAGGAATGATCTGCAGACTGTGATCCTGCTTTTAACAGGGTGCATTTAAGTAGTGCCCTGAGATTTAAGAGAAGCTCCTTGCTGTGACAGAAGCCAGTCAAGGAAAGCAGGCACAAGGTTTTCAAGGGAGCAAATCATCCAGGGAAAAGTTCTAAGCATAAACTGAGGGAAAATAGTACCTGATAAAGCTGAACAGTGAGCCACAAGGAGGCCCAAACAGTGTGGAAACAGGCAACTGCAGAGATGTAGGAAACCCAGGGAGAGCAGTACACGACCTGTGTGAAGTATGTCCACGCTCCATCCTGGCGGTAACTTGTTGGACAATGGTTGGACCAATCTGAGAAGACATACAACCAGTTAATTATGTTTTTAAGCCCTTAAGAACTGAACAAGGATTATTCGCATGAAATGAATATTACATAGCAACGGGCTCTAGAAATACCCTGTTTAATATATCCCATTCCCACTTAAAAGCACCCACATAGATACATGACTGCTTGTTATTCTGGCTGCATAATCTTTACATTCTGAGTTCATAATCCACAGAAAGAACACTCAAGGCACTGCCTAAGCACTTTTTACATTATATTGAAGTGTCATAATCTCCCACTGTCAAGACTTCTGGAATTTTGCTTCGTGCTTATTTGTAACTTTTAGGACAAGAATTTATCATTTCTCTGAAACACCATCATCAACAAAAGGAGACTTGATGGTGACAATTCCAAGAAAGCAGTATTCTACCACTATCAAACAGACGTAAACTGGAATGTCCAATTCCTGCAAATTTCTTATGAGCTAATTAAGTCTAACACTTACACATTTAAGGTATTAGAAAACCCCCCAAACTACAAGGAAAGTAACTTTTTTTTCTTCTCTGTATCAGTAGAGCAATAAAGAGGTTTTCCTCTCACACTCCTTCACATACAGGAAATTGAGAAAATAACATGCTTTTTTCATACATAAGATCACCACCCAAACACAGGAAACTAACTCATGTTCACACAAGTGACCTGTGTCCTCCACTGGTTCATTGCACTCTATGTTGAATATTGTCTCATATCAACATAATGTGAAGCAATATGAAATAAAATTAACTCCCTCTGCTTTTTTATTTAAAAGGTTAGTGCTATGGTAATTCACCCTCAGGAATTACATCATAATGTTTCTCCTCTCCCCCCTCTAAGAAATGTCCTAATTTTTAAAAGTAACAGTTCAGATTTAATGAGATATACAGTTCTCTTCTCTTCAAAGTTATGACTACATTAAAGCCAAAAAGAAATGCTTGCAGGTATTCAATATAGATATTTCCAAATAACAAAATCAATAAAGCTTTTGTAATATTGTATTTACAAACTTATTTTCTATTACAGTAAAGAGCATCCAGCTTAGAACCTGTAACCTTCCTCCACATGGCTTCTCTATTTCACCTCTAACAAAAATTCTTCCTGCTATTTCATTTTCCAATGGACATCCCACTAGAGTTGTATCTTATTATGTTTGTGTTGAGCAAGAACTATGGTATTTGAGCAAAGACTCAGACATGAATTCCCACAGTATTGTCTCTTATTTACACAATAATGCCACTGCTGAAATATGGCATCACTTGTGCAGGTATAATTACACTTGCTGGAAACAAAACGCTGAAAAAAAAAGACCAGACACACACGTACTTGAAAAGTAAAGTAAAATAAATTCATGGATACATACACAGAAGAGTTCCATAGAGCAGCCAGACACCTGTCATTGTTAGGAAAGTCAGGAACAACAGGTAATAACAATGGTTCCCAATACCTGAAATTGAGGCAAGGAAAAAAATAAAAAAAAAATTTTGACAATTCAAAATTCAGCAGTGTTTGCATTTCCCCTGAAGTTAAATACGAATAAAAAGCAAGTCAAAACCATTTCTTGTTATTACCTCTGCCATCCACAAGAGAGTTTGACAAGGCTGATCTCTCTCTCAACTTTCTCCTGTAAGCCACTCCAATTTATATAATAGAATTAGTTCTGATAAAGTCAACCAGGATTTGTGTCTTCTTCAGAGCATGCCTTCAGCTGTTTTAGCTAGATGAGGACTAATTATGCAACCACAACTCTCCTCCATGCACAGTAAAATTGTCTCATATTGCTGAAAAGTCTAAGCTATTCGATTTGATTGTTTGACCTCGTGTGCTTCAGAATTGCAAACATACACAAAACCACCCCAGACCTCTATCAGAGAAACTGTTACATGAAGATATAAAAATATCTTTATTTAAATTACAATCATATTGCTCAGAGCCTCCAGACAATGCATCAGAAGGATGCACTACCACCTTGTAAATAGCAAACACCATAAAAATATTTCCAAGGATTTAATATTACAAAAAAAAGCTATTGGCAAAAAATTAAACAAAAAAAAAAAGCTAAAAATATATTGTTACAGATGAAAAGGTCTAACCTTAATATCTTGAGCATCACCAGTAATGAGCCAGGAAGGAAGAGGGTGAGAGGAAAGAACACAAGAGCACGAACAATGCCCTGTGGGGTTATCTCAGGGGTCCAGCTGCTCCTCTCACAACTGTCTCTAACAGTGAAGGAGGCAATGGAAGGTTGGGAGGACACCCAAGCCTGGCCAATTTCTGGAGTTCACTCTCCTCATCCACAGCTAGTGCTTTAAAATGTCAGAGTGTGCACACTTGTCTAGTTCTTTTAATATCTACTTTTGGACACATTGTCCAAAAAGTCAGTCTAACCCCCTTCTGAACCTTCTGACTCTGCCTGTATCTGCAAACCCTTACAGCAGCAAGCTCCAAAATTTCACTGCCTGCCACGTAAAGACAGGACTAATTTTAAATCCCTAGTTTTAGTATGATGTGCTTCTTGAGTAAGAGTTCTGCATTCACTTTAGCCACCATCTTCACATTTTTTCTCTTTCTTTTTTAACATTTCAATCATATCCCCTGTTCCTTCTTCTCTCAAAAGAAAGAGTTCCAGACTTTGTGGTTTCTACTCTTAGGGTGACTACTCCATCCCTTTAATCATTTTATTTGACTTTCTCTCTTCCATCTAACTAATTTCCCTCTGGCACCTACTAGAGCCCTTCAGTATCAACTGCGTATTCTTGTATCATGTGAGCTCCCTCTCTTTAAGGAGATAAATGTTACTTCTGCAACTTTTAAAATATGTGGCATTTGCAAATTTGATAAAACACACACTCTCACCTATGCACTGTCCAGTCCACAGAGAATGCTGATCATATCTGGCTACACATGCTTGGCAAGCAAGGCAATGCACAGATCTCAAAGGCTTCCTTACCTAGTTGAGAATGAAGGAAAAGAATACACTCATAGCAGAAGCATCTGTTTTGCTCAAAGTTTAAAGCATCATCTTGTAGGTTGTGCACATTTTGCACAATTACTGTGTAACAGACCTCACAACAGAACACAGATGAGAGCCATACATCTTAATTTTACATAAAAAAGAGATGGAAATAGTTGGGGTTTTTTTTAAGATTAGAGTCCAAGCATCTCAAATCATCTCTTGTCACTGTAAAAGATATAAAGAAATCCAAACAATATAGAAAAAAACCCTGGAGTAACACTCAAATGACAAGCAGAGAGAAAAATGCTTTTTATAGCAGCATTGAGTATAATGCAGGTTCACAAAGAAAACAAATACCAAAGGCCCACTTACAAGACATGATGTGCAGAATGTTCTGAAGTCCAAGTAACCCGCTTCTGCAAGACCTACAATGTTCTGAAAGACAAAGTATTTTGTGCTTGCATTTGGATCACATTTTCATAGGTGCTGTGAAGCTTTTTACATTGTGACTTCTGCAGTTTGTAAGTATTTTGAATGCCAAGCACTGACAGAACTCGCTATTTAAAAAGGTCCACAAGAAAACACAAACCAGTAAAAACTAATGCAGCTTCACCAATACAAGATTACACAGAAAAGTATCTCTATGTTGTCAAAATTAAGAAATAATGTGAACTAAATGTTCTTTAAAGTGAGATGGTGTTTACATACAAGACAGCTCTCATATAGTCAGCCAGACTTCAGGGAGATGAGGAAAGGTATGTCTTATTCACACTGCTATCCTACAGTTCTCCATGCTCATCTCTCTTTTTAGCCACAGACAACTGGAGCAGAAACCATACAGAATTTATATTTTTTAAGTGAAGTTCTATATGAATTTATATCACAGATAACATTATCAGGTCTGTAAGGTGTTTGGCCAAGCTCATACTTCAATGAAAAAAGATGGAGGCAAGGAAATAGTGGCAGGATGATGAAGGAAACAAGCAGTAGGAGGAGAAATTCTCTTGCTAAAAACTCTTAAAGGAAGAATATTTCACTGCTCTCAAGTTTACCAAAGCTGCACATAATGCCAAACAAATCAACCAGAAGTACATACATATTGCACCAGGTTACAGCCTTTACAAAATCACCTACCTCTTTTCTTTCTTCTTCTGAAGTCTTTATATATCCAGGATCAGTACTCCAAGTTTTATAGAAATAATAAAGAAGACCCATCATGCTGAACATGACAGTGATTTCAAGAATTATATTTGTTATATGTAATTGTCAGGTTAAGGAATAAATTCTTATACCACGTATCACCACTGTTTGTCAAACACACAAAATATTCTAAAATTAGTTTATGTTATTTTACAAGCAACACACAAAAAAGAAAAAATGATCTTCACCCTTATAGCAGGATCTTCTCTGTCCTTCAGAGGCCATCATATCAGAGAAGCTGAGTATCTGTCCAGTTTGAGTGCTGGAGAAGATTTTTACAACTGTATAAATCTGAATCACAATATGGCTCCCTGTCATCCTCCCTACCAGAGTGCAGACTTTTGCTTTTCAATGTTCAACAGATACAAAATGAATTTGATTTCTTTTTTACCTCCGAAGCTTCTCTATTTTATTTAAACAACTAGTCAGACATGCAGAGTTATAAAGCTTCCAGCAGCTTTGAGATTTGTTTGACTGCTGCACACACCCCTAAGTCATCAAACACTCAGTCTTATCTTCTCCTGTTCATTTCAGCCAAAAGCAATTGAATATACTCAGTCAGAAGAATGTAATAAAGCCATCCTGAAACTATTTTTGTCACTCAAAAAAACCCAAGCACACACTGCTAAATAATTCTGAAGGATATTAGGAACATAACTTTTATACTATGGACTACAACCATCAGGCAAAAGGGGGAGAAAAACATGCCAAGATTAACTGTCGCTATACAGCAACAGGGAAACGTGGAGTGGGACAAGTTTCTTACCAATTAAATTCATGCACCAAGCTTGAGAGCTCGGGCTGCTAGGAACAGTCCCTGATGCTCCCAAGGAGCAGGCAGAGAGCCCAAGCCCGAACTGCATCTCCAGTGACCCCTCTGTCACTCTGTAAACTGCACTGCAAATAACCCTTAAAAATCCAGTACTGCAACCTCCAGGTTGCTTTGTCTTATGAACTAATGCCACTGCAAACAGTCCTAATTAAAATCAAGATGATAAATCAAGAAATATTGGCACCATATATCACCAGCTGCTTGTTACAATGCAATTGCAGGGTGCAGTTGCAGAAGTCAAATGATGCTGCATTTCTTGTGGATACTGCTGGTCTATTTGCATTGCTATTGGTTTTTTGGAGCTAATTGAAATTCTTAATTAGAAGAGCTGGATTTTCATTCAGTCCAGAGGAACAGTTTGACAGACAAATACAGGTAACTAAAATCCTGAAAACTTTTATAATACCAGTTTCAGAAGGAAAACATATTAATGAGAAAAAGGGTTGGATAGTGAAATGAAAGACTGTCCACTGACCCACCTCACCAAGCTATGGTTAGACCTTCAAGGACACTGCTGTGCTTACTACCTTCAGCAAAGTGCCTGACTCAAATCCCTATCATTGGAATTATTTTCTGCCCCTTTTAATTTAGATGACACCAAGAAAACCTTAAAACTTCACAATACAGCACTGAATAACACAATTTTCATTTAGACAACCTTGTGTGTATCCCCAGCAGGAATATACTTGATCAGTTCATCGAAGTTAATCCTGGTAATTCTATTATAGACATCTTAATTGGGAACAGTACAAAAGAAAATGCCATTTAAAGGCTGAATTAAAAATTAATTAAAACTGTGTAGCAATATATTATAGCTAGTTTAGTACAAAATTATTTACAGTTCTAAGTATCTTCCTAAGTGCCTTCTCACAAAACTTTACCAATAAGTACATACCCCCTGTGTAACAAAAGAGCAAGGCACTGAAAAGAGTGCAAACTACTAAAGTGTTTTCGTACTCAACAGTGAAAAGCCTCTTCAGAGAAAGCAAATGAGAGGTAGAAATTAATCCACTGTATACTAAGGATTCAGAGTGAATAAAGACAAACAGGAGACTGGACGATCTATTTTGCAGGAACACAAAGAAATTTGTTCCTTTTTGGGGGTATGTGTGGAGGGTGTTGTTTTTAAAGGCAGAAGCATGAACACCACTGTCAAATCCTTGTCATTTTAGAAAGATGAGATGCTTTTAAAATTATTATTAATGCATGTATTATCCAGTTATACCATATGCCAAAATACATTACTGTATGAGAGGCTCAATGAGGAAGATTAGGAAGTCACATGGAGATGCTAACAGAAACAACTGGATTTATAACTGACATCTTCATTTTGATTTTCCAGTAACACATGAAACAGTTCAGATTATAAAGAAAACAAAAATCTGCTAAAGACAAAAGAAAGTACACATTCTTAGTCTGTATGCAACTTTAAATTAAAGCCAAAGTTACTTTGCCCCTCTCCAATGGAAGTAAACCAATCTTACCAGACATTAACAGTCATGGGGAATTATCTGGAACTGCTCATTAGTTTGCATGACCAGGTTTAGATTTACAAGGAACTATAGGGACAGTTCTATTGCATTTCCTGAGTATAAAGGATATCGGGCAGGAACCAGAAAAACCAGGTCATGGACATCCAAAAAACTGAACTTAGCAGAAATGCCGTGGGAAGATACCTTAGATTCTTGAGCCCCACGAGTTGCCTGAAATAACATTAAAATAAAAAAATAATATTTTTCAAAATATATTTAAAACACAAGTCCGTAGAATATAAATCATCTGGTTTGTTATTGTAAAAACTTCACGCACATGGTATATTTCAAGACTCTCAAAGCAATCAAGAACTGTCACTCAAAAGGATTCTTTATCCAGATGGACAGGGGGTCAACAATGCAAAAATAGACCTGATGAGTGCTCTGTTGCAGCCTAATATTATATATGAGAAGTGTTGTAGCACTGAGTGAGAACTACAGTCTCTGTCTATTTGCACACAGATAGCTTTGCCACATCAATGAATACCGACTGTTGCAGGAACTGTTGGAGAAAGCAGGAAAAGTACAAACCAGCTCAGGATAACACTGGGAGCTCTGGGGAGGCAGAAGGAGAGGGAATGGCTCACTAAAACCTGTTCTCTGTCAAAATACAGCAGGAAAAAGTTGTGATAAAACACATTTCTGAGCACTGTGAATGGATATCTCAGTGTCTGCCAGATGCAAACCATCAATAACACTCTTTAACATTAAAATTAGCTAACAGACTGTTTGGTGTTTTTTTTTAATCTTTCCGTGACAAGAAACTACTATTGTGTACAGCTAAAGACATTCAATTTCTATGGTCATTCATTCTAAAAAGTACATATATTTAAATTCTTCACACACTCTGCAACCATTTCTCAGGACGTATCTCTTAAGCTATGTGAAACTAAACTTTGAAAATATATCATGTCTCTGACAATTAAATACACATACAGAGAGAAAAAAGCCACAAACCTGACAAACAGTGTCATCCCAAATAGCAGGCAGAGAAGCAAACATCCTTTCAAAAGCCAAGAATCAGAACTTAAGTTCACGACATATCCTATGGCCCACATGAATGTCAAGGAAGATGCCAACATCAGGAAGAGCTGTTAAAATTATTATTGTGAAAGTATTCAAGTTATTGTTCTATTGTTATTGTATTATTGTTAAAGTATTCAATCAGGACTTACTTAAAAGTATTCACTTCATGTAATAACAGATGGTGAAAGACTCAAGATAGAGAAGACAAGGTGACACATCAACACATCAAAAGCAGGGGAGGAGGAATGACACAAAAAACTCCCACTCAAAACACTGCTATGTGCTTTTAAAGAATATTTTTTGTGCATCCAATTTCAGAAATCTCAGAAGTTGCTTGTTAGAATAGAGTTAATTTGCATATCACTCTAAACACAGCATGCTGTAGTTTTATTTCCATTAGTTATCACTTGGGAAATTACCTCATATTTCTCTACTATTTTCAGCAACCTGTTATTTTTCCTGCTTCTCATTCTTTCTTCCTCTTTCATCATATAAACCATGAAGTGATTCTGATTTTGATAAGCAAGGTCAAGCGGTGTCTCTCCCTTTAACAACAGAAGAAGTTATTTATTTATGCACTTAACACATAAATACTTTCCTTTTTAACAGAAGCAAGAAATGAATATAGTTAAAACAAGAATAACTGGGCAGCTACTTCCCAGTCCCACCTCCCCTCCTCTTATTTTTTAAGGCAAAGTAAGCTAAATTCCAGCTTTTAATATGCTTAATTCAGTGCTTTGTAATTCTGAAAACTGACACTTGCAAACAGATTGCACCCATTTGAGTTATCTGCAGGACTGCCTCCAGTAACATATTTACATAGTCATGGGAATTGATACTTTCAACATTTATACTTCTCACTATCAGTTTTTACAAATATTAAGAGGAAGACTTTCATATGTGACCAACCCAGGCATTGCCAAACACCAGCTTTCACATGTATTTTGAAGTCTCTGTGAGTCTGACTGGACACTAAGGAACTGTTACTTTTTAAAATCTGCCCAAGGTCATTAGTCTTCATGACAATGTTCTGAAGCAGAAAGCAGCCAAATCAAGAAACGAAGAAATAAAACAAACCCCCAAGAAAATGAAACAATGTTGAGGGAACACACAAGGCTTGGCTGTTCATTAAACAAATGTTGCAAAGAACCTCTGCATTCATACTTTGAGTCACACCTCAAGGAAGGCACTAAGTCCTTTCCGCGAAGTCTAAGAACATCTGTCAACTCCTGTTGCAATTGACACCCAACGTGAAGAGAGCTCAGATTTTTCTTGACATTTATTTTACACATTTATGCCACATGGGATGAAATATCATGAAAGAAATCATACCTTGACATTTTTTATGTCCAGGCTGGCACCAGCTTCCAGCAACAGATCCACTGCACTGATATTTCCTGATGATATTGCCCAATGCAGTGCAGTATTCTTTTGAACATTGTCTACAGCATTGAGAGAGGGGTTAAACTTTAAGAGAAACCTCGTGGGTTCTGGTCTAGATGAAAATAAAGTATAACAGTTAACGAACAGAAGACAATCTAAGCTGGAAATGAAACTTTTGAACGCCTTATAAAAATATCAGTGAAACAACAGGAGATATGCAACACCTTGTCTCAGAACAAGCTCATCAACAAGAGATCCAAGTTTAGAATTCAGGACCCACCTTGAAGGTTTTTCTCCAGATTATGTAATTTTACCGTTTTAACAAATATGAGGTCTATAACATAGATTGTATCTTCTACAACACCATGTGTAAGCTTATATCTCCACATTTTATTTATTCTAAATGCATTTCGCTGTGTCCGCTTCCATTTATTTTCATTTTGGGGAAAGCACAATAAGGCTGCAGATGATTCAGCCACAAACCTAAACTTCTTCTGGAAATTCTTTTGACTTTCTTTGCTATATCCAACGAGCTACTTCCTATCTCCTGATCTCTGAAATACTGGATATTTTAGTACAAATGAAAGTGAAAGGAATGTCAGTTGAAAAAAAAAATCGTAAGAAAAAATTCACCTCACTGCTTCTTGGGTACAATAAAATAGACCCTTCTCAGTTATTCACTACTTACCCAACGGCTTTTTGTGCTGTTAACATTAAAGGTGTTTGTCCATTGAAGTCTGTTGTGTCTATGTTCTAAGAATAAGAAAAAAACAAGCAAGTGATTACCAGTGATTTCAGGAAACAGTGAGGTGGTCAGATTTGGAGCTATACAACTGGCTTAGCTTCACAAATGAAAAGAAAATGGAAAGAAACCAAATTACATCAGCCAAGAAGCCAACACTTATTTAAACATTTTTCCTCCCTCTACGAGTCTTGCATGTCGTTCCTTCCAGAATATTCTGAGTTTCCACTAAGGACACTTTTAAGGGAGAGTCTCCACAAAGGATATTTTCAAGTGAATCACGTTAACCACCTTCCTTGTGTAAACAGAATACATAACAGAATATCCAAGTACATAAAACAGGTTTATTAAAACAAGAAAGGATTGGTTGATTACATATCTCAAAACAAACACTTCACTTGTATTACCTAATTTTCTTCCTTCTTAACAATGAAGGTTTCCTTGTTCCCTGCTTCCACCTATCATTACATTAGAACAGATTTACTTAAAAGAAATTATTAAATACTTGGATTTTTTCAGCTGAAGATAGGCGAACTAACAGTTTTATTAAGTCTGTGATACACATCACTATACCTACACTCCAGAAGGCAGTTATTCTACCAAAGAGAACTCTATAAGAAAGAAAATAAACCTAGAAAATTTTTAAATCCTAACACTCAATGTTTCTAAGAAACAGTCTTGATCATATAAGAACCCTTCTCTCATTTTTATTAGAAAACTATTACACTTGTCATTAATTCCGCTTATTTCAGATGTAAGTTGGGAGATATCAACTACCATGGATACAATATAAAATTAAAGAAAACACAAAAATTAATAAAAATTCAGACCTAGTCTGATGATCTATTCTGCATACTTCAATTGATGGACAATTCCATGGATGACTAGTTACAAAACTGTAATCAAATCATAAATACTTCATGATGTATATCCATCATATACTTTTTGTTCTCAGGTTTAAATGCCAGTTGTCATTTCCACAGCACCACAAATCTGCATAGCCTTAGCAGTGCTCCTTAAATACTCTGAAATGTAGGTGAATCTGGACATGTGGGGGATGACAGGAACAGGGAGGACTATTAAAAAAAAATTTTAAAAAACATATATTAAAAAAATCTAAGTTTATCTGAACTTATAACACAGAAAAATAGTTATAAAATACCTGCTTTTCATGTAAAAAACAAACCAGCTAATTCTGAAATGTATCCTACACACAGGCAGCTACTCACAAGTAGAACACAACAACTGGGACATCACCAACATACCTGGCCTTTTGATATGAGGTAAGCTATGATGGGCATGTGTTGGAAGAGCACTGCTAAATGAATGCTACTGAATCCTTCCCCATCAATAAGACTGGGATCCGCTCCACATTTCAACAATAATATGACCATGGGTAGGTGTCCTTGTCTACAACGATATATGAAATGAAACTATAGAGATGATGAAAAAAATGGGTATTTTAATGAAAGCATTGCCCTAATAATTCTCACAGAGACCTCACAAAAAAACAATTTTTTTTCAGATTCTCATGCTTTTATTCAGGAAAATACTTTTAAGCTACAAGTTTGTATCAGGAAATTTATATTAAATATACACCTTAAAAAATCAGCCTAGGGCAAACTGTTAATTTAGAATACCGTGGTTATTCTACAGTAATCTCTCCTGTAAGCAGTCATCCAAGTATCCAACTCTGGCAGAAGACTGATAGTCCAGAAGAAAGCACTGATCTTCCAATATGAGAATTGGCACTCAGAGAAGTTATGCCAGAATAATTATTTAAGGTTATGTTTTCTCCAGACAAGCAGTGCTTTGTTCTTTGTACCACACAAAATGCTTCTATAGCTTTTAATATCAACAGATATTAAAATTGCAAGCAACATACCTAATGGCCCAGTGAAGGGGAGTAGAATTCAAATCTCCACCCAGCTGATCCACTATCGCACCTTTGGAAATATAATATCTGTGTAATAACAACACAATAAGATCAAGAACATAATAAGACATAATAAATATATACTAATGATAACATAGCTCTAGTAATGTGGCAGTAGCTTACAACAAAAAAAAAAATCACTAGAGAAGCAAACTGACAAAAGTTTTTGCAGTAAAGGACACTTTTCAAGAAAATGTTTGAGAAAAAATACAGTCATTAGCAAGGTACTTATAAAATCAGCTGTCATGTTTGTTAAACAAACCAAACCCAGGAAAATGATTTCATGTACTACATGATTTCACATATAAAGAAACCAGGCTATCTTCGCGTTGCGGTGACATTTCCACAAAGGTAATTGGGTTCAAATTTGAATTTCATGCTTTTCTTCTCAAGCAGCAGGTTCCTTTGTTTTCAAGTACAAAAGCAACAAAGAGATTGTAAGTTACAGTGGCAAAATACTTGTTTTACTTTCACAGGGACTCTTGAACTTACTTAACCAGCTCCTGTCTGTTGTTTATTGCTGCCCAGTGAAGAAGAGTCACATTTTCTTTGTCTGGTTGTCGAACATCATATCCTGCTTCCACCAGTTCTCTGCATCGCTCTAGCATTCCATACCTTGAATGAGAAAAAAAAAATCAATTTATTTATCATTTGTTAAATATCCTCCAGTTTGGAGACAGCCACATACTAAAGAAAGAATAAATCTCCGTGAGCATTACCCAGCAGTTCCTACTTGTGCAAATTCCACATTGCATTCAACAGAAGTCTTGCAAAAAGAGCTGGGCTCTTAACAAACCCTCTACTTAACAAACTTGCTTGAAATGAAATACCTTTGTTTATGATAAAAATATTTACAACAGTAGCTGTAAATGATCTTTCTTCACAGAATCACAGAATATGTCGAGTTGGAAGGGACCTACAAGGATCGTCGAGTCCAGCTCTTAGCCCTACACAAGGACCATCCCCAAGAGTCACACCATGTGCCCCAGAGTATGATTAAAACTTCTTCCACTACAGGGAGAAAATGAAACTGAAAATGTTTCCTTTGTAAGAATATCCAGACTGGTTCACATTTAAGGACGCTCCCATCTATTTCACCACTTGGCACACTCAGAATGTGTACTTACTGTGTAGCCTTGACAATATCACAGGTGCTGGGTTCTTCAACAATGGGATATGGTCCTGGTAAACCTTTATCCCCGTGGGTGCTGTGATTGTTGTGCATGTGAGGTCGATGAGGTCCACGGCAATGGCCTTTGCACTGTCAGTTAACAAAGCATTTATCAGCCATTATTATTTATGGGTTGTACACCACATACACAGCAGCTCTGCCACACCAGAAATCACAGTCCACGGCCTTGGGAAAGGCTTTAAACGCGCTCGGGAGCCACAGTGCCACCCACACAGCCTGAAACCACACGCCATGGAACAGAAGAGGCACAGGCAGGGCAGGACGCGAGCCGCTTGTTGCCGGGAACCCCCGCCAGACACCCCCCGGCAGCACCGCGGGGACCGCACGGCCGTCCCGCTCCGGGCCTCGGCGGCCGCGCTCCGCCACCCACCGCCCGGGGCAGCGCCGGCCCCTCCACCCTGCTCCCGGCCCGGCACTGTCCCCGGGCTCCCCGCTCACCACCGGGCCGCTGACCGCCATCCCCGCGCCCGCCGCAGCTTCCTGCTCCCGCTTCCTGGGAACGGCTCCGGGGCGGGGCCCGCGCCGGGCACACACGGCCCGGGCGGGGCGGGACCGGCGCCGTGCGGGCGAGTCCGGGAGACTCGAGTCTGACCTCCCCTGGCCGTGCAGGGGATCGCGGGGGAGCTGTCCACGTTCCCCGGCCGTGCAGGCGATCGCGGGGGACCTGTCCCTGACGTTCCCCGGCCGTGCAGGGAACTGTTTCTGACGAGCCCCCGCTTCGGCTCGCGCGGGCAGTTCAGCGGCTTCCAACTTTCTTCGGTTGTGGCTGAAAATGGTTCCTTCCCCTTTTGCAGGGCAGCCACACGGAAAAACTCGGTTTCGCACAGTATATCCCCCAAGGTCGGGGACAAGAAGCCTTTTGGCGAAACTTTGCGGGAGTTGTGCCTCAGCAGCTGGAAGGGATCCCCTGGGGAAGGGTCTGGAGCGCGATTCTGATGAGGAGCGGCTGAGGGACCTGGGGGGGCTCAGCCTGGAGGAAAGACCTTCTCACTCTCTATAACTCCTTGAAAGGAATAGTGCCACCACTTTGCTGGCATGGTTCCCTCAAGGATTCAGGGCCATTTGGAAGTCATACTTCCAGCCCCCAGCCGAGCTCCGATGTCCCCTCACGACAACCAGGATGAGGGAGGAGCCGCCATTACGGGACAAGCCGTGAGTGGGAGCAGTCACCCCCTAAATAAACGGGGATAACCTGGGAAAACACCCACAGGTGTCAAACACCCACAACTTTCCCAGGTGATCGGGACCTGGCAGCCCTCAGAGCTACTCCATCTCCTCTGCCCTGAGGAGAAGTTCCCCCCTGCGTGGGGGGCAGTGATCACCAGCTCTCGATGGCACTGAGTGTGGGCAGAGAGGGACAGGGCAGTCTGTGGGGACTTGCGGACCTCCCGCTCCTGAGGGAAACGTGTGATGGCTTTAGTGAATTAGCAGTTACCCGAAAAGGGAAAATTATAACGCCCAGCTCAGCCTCCTGCTTACGTGGGACTCAGGACTCTCGCAATCCCCTGAGGGCGGGGTCCTTGCTGGAAGGATGATGGCTCCTGCCAAGCCTTCAGGTAGAGGCTTGGGTAGACATTCAGGGTTGGCAACCCGCAAAAAAAGGAAGAAAAATGAAAAAGCAGATGCATCTCTGAAAAAAACCAAATCCTTATTTTGGGAGCACAGGGCAGTAGGCAGAAGGTGGCACAGGCTTGTTGCTGGCACCTCACCACTGGGCCTGGGCTGGCACCTGGGTGCTTTGCCGCAACTAGACCTGTTATTGCACTTTCCCTCTCCATCAGCTGCTTTTAAGGTACAAGGAGATATTTTGGGGAGCAGAATGAGACCAATACCATGGCAGTGAGCCCAGGATCTCAACAATTGTGAATGAGAAGGAAAGACAGAAGAGGAAGTCAGTTCTTTTTCCCATCTCAAAGCTGAAGCTGAGAAGGGGAACATCAGATGAAAAAATAGACCATATTAGAGTACACAACTACAGGGAGAACTCTGCCTTCCTGGTCAGCAGGTGCTACTGGGATTCCGTGATGCTGTGTTCGAATAGGAAAGTTTCCAGAAAGGACTTGGGTGGAAATGCAACTTCTTCCACACAGAGTTAAAAAACTGTGGGCTACAAGGTGCAAAGTTATCAAGACTCCCTCCATACCATAATATAACTCCTACCTCAGTTTCCCTTGGAGTCAATACGGATGACTTGCGATGCCACGAGCATGTGCCCAGAGCCCAGCCTTGCCTGCCCATTCTTGAAAATTATGAAAGAAAGACTCTGATTCCCCTTTTGAAAAACATGTTTCTTCAGCTGAAGCTGCTAAATATGACTCAGTTTGACACATGGGAAAGGGTTTTGGGTTGTTTTATTTTTGGGGGGGCTGTAATAGGGTGATGTGGAAATGCCTGCCTCACAGCCAAGGGTGGCGGCAAATCTCTTCCAGCAATGGCCTGTCCCAAGGGCACTGGGATAAACACCATCAGATCAGGTGCTGGCACTCTGGGGAGAGAAACCAGAAAGCAGCGGTGAGTTGGAGAAGGCTCCTGTGCCCCTTGTGCCAGGCCATGCCACGCCACGTGTGCTCAGCGCTGCACAAGCCTCCTGGCCGACTCTGCGCTGTGGAGCAGAGTGGGATGACAGAACATGCACCAGCTCCTTCAGCAACCGGTGCAAGATCAACCCCGTCAAGGGCCACCTCCTGCAGCCACCAATGGGAGACAAAGCTCCTGCGGATCTGTGTGAGCGCTCTGCTGGTGTGCACGGGGCTATCTCCCAAAGCCTGAGACCAACCTGAAGAGACCTGCTGCCAGGAGCAAAGCTGCCCTGCCATAATGTCCTCATCCTCCTCGAAGGGGAAGTTCCCACACACCATGACACAGAGCAGCACGCCCAGGGACCAGATGGTTGCCAAGTGGCCACGGTAGAGGCCAAAGTGGATCCACTCCGGTGGGCAGTATTGCTGTGTTCCTATGGGATACAGGCGGCGTTGTTCAGGCAGATGCTGCCGCTGGCTTCCAGAGCCTCGCCTGAGCATTCTCTTGGATGCAGAGGCTGCACTGCTGTCCACAACTCCCCCCCCAACACCGCCCTGCGCTCCCACCCAAGTGAGCAAACCTAAGAAATCCTTACACAAGGCCAAGAAGGGGAGGGGAGCAGCCCAAGCCCTTCTGCGCCTGCAAAGCCAAGGGGCTGGTGCAAAGGTTTTGCAGCCCCCCCACCTCTGCTCCCTCCCCTGGGGGTTTGTTTTTGTCATGTTGGCTCCCCTGGCCCCAGCCCAGGGCAGGGTGGGGGACAGAGGCTGTGGGGAGGGCCAGGAGCCGGCTCCTGTTTCCCAACCTCTGTACCGAGCCTAAGAGGGGCTGGCAGCCAGCGGAATCCCACAGCAAAGAGTGGCCAAGGATGGAAGATGTGGTGAGCAGCCAGGCTGGGCCATGCAGTGGCTGTGCATGGGAGCACAGCCCCAGCTGTGGGCTCACCTGCAAAGCATGTGTAGGGCTCATCCCAGAGGAAGGTGGCAAAACTGAAGTCGTTGAGCTTGAGGTCGCTGGTGTCCGGGTGGAGGATGATGTTCTCTGGCTTGATGTCGCGGTGCAGGACACCGCAGTGGGCGCAGTGCCACACAGCCTCCAGCACCTGGCAGAACAGCCAGCATGCCGTCTTCTTGCACAGGAACTCCCACTCCACAAGGAGGTCAAACTGATCCTGTGCTGGCTCCAGATGCTCCGTCACCAGCAGGAAGCTGTCAGGCAGCTCAAGCCAGTTGAGGAGCTGGGTGATGCTGGGGCAGCTTCTCCAGGAACACTGTCTCCGTGGGTCGGTCCATGGGTGCTGTCGAGCTGTGGGGAGGAGACAATGGCACCAGTGGGTTTATTGCTGCCCAGTGGTTGCAGTGCCCCCTGCCTGGGATGCTCCAGTGCAGCCTTGTCCAGCCTCCCTGGTGCTGGGCATCCCTGGGCCCAGGATGCTCCAGGTCCCAGGGTGACCCCACGCCCACTCCCCCCAAAGCTATGTCACAGCTTCCACACTCCTGGCCCTGGGCTTATCCCTGCATGTGATGCCCTAGTTTGTGTGGGTGGCCCCACTGACTCACCAGCTCGCCCCACTGGAAGAGGCTCTGCAGGACCAAACATTTGATGGTCTCCTGCAAGCCAAGGGGAGAGTCAGGCTGAGCTTGGCAGCAGCCTCACCTCCTGGCCCTCCTCCTCTGCCCCGCTGCCACCCATGCCCCTGAGCAGGACCCATTCCCAGAGGTGAACTGTGGCTGTGCCATCCTGTCATTGTGCCCACGTGTTGGATTAGACTAGGGCTGGAAACCTGCGTCCTATTATCCCATTCCAGTAAAGTATTCCCAGTGGCACAGCAGTAAGCGTCCTGGAGTTGCTGGTGCCCAGTCCATGGCTCTGATGAAGCTGCAGCAGTGCCAGCTGGGAACACCGTCTGCTTGGTGCCAGAGAAGATCCTCCAGCAGCAAAGAGAGGTGTTCCCATCTCGGGCACTCTCCCAAGCCAGCTGTGGAGGAGCAGGATGAGGACTCTGTCAGCACATCTCGCAAGAGCCTCCATGTCTCCCAGAACTTCCATCCCTGGCAGCCAATAGCGGGGGAGTTGGGGGAGATGCCCAGTGCTGCCCTCCCCATTCAGGGCAGGGTCCAGGGCACCGTGACCCCCCCGGGGAAAGATGCTCAGCCCCAACCCACCCTTACACAAAAGGGAGATGAGAAGAGCAGGGTACCAGGGGCACAGGGCCCCCCAGATGCCCCCCAGCTGTGGGTTCCCCCTCCCTCCTGCTCCCTTCCAGCTCCACACCGTGGAGCTCAGAAAGTAAAAAAGAAATACAAAAATAAAACGAAAGGAAACAGCTCCTCAGTGGATTCCTGGAAGAAAATTCCATCAAGGGCCATTAGGCTCCTGTGGCTCCTTCCCGCAGAGCAGGGGGGCTGCAGAGATCATGGTGGGGTGGCCCCAAGGACTCGTAGCTGGGCATTGCCCAGGCACAATCCCTCCTGGATCTCCTTGGCACCCCATCCTGAGGCAAGGATGGTCCTGAATGTCCTCCTGGATCTGTCCCAGGAAAGTCCCTGCTCCCTGGTGTACCTGGGCAGGGGTAGAGGGGACCCCCACACACACATGCACTCATCTCACCCACTGCCCCCTACGCTGGCTTCGCCCCGTGGGTGCTGACCACCATTTTTACAGTGTCCAGCCCTGAGGAGAAGCCAAGAGCTCCAGGTAAGGGATTAAACCCCAAATCAGTGAATAATTAACCAAGGGAAAAACAAGGGTCCTGGGCCCTTGTCCTCACTCCAGCTCTGCTCCTTCCCCTGCTGCCACTCTCTGCCCTTCCTTGGCAGTGAGGAGGGTGGAGGGAGAGGGAGATAGAGAAGGTGGGGCTCAACCTCTGGAAATGAGTCACCAGCCCATCCTGGGAAGTTTCCCAATGCAGTGACTGGTTTCCAGTCAGCTGTAGCCCCATTCCCCTGCACCCACTGAGTCCTGTCCAGGGTTTGATCCTGGCCACACACGAAACACCACTCAGCTGCTTGCTTATCCCACCTTTGTGAGTGGGAAACATGGGTCATCCCATGGGACAGTGAAAAGTCCTTGAGGAGGGTAAACCCTGCTCAGCAACAACCCAACCACCCATATATGATCTACAGCATTCCCATTCTGAATCCAAAGACAGCATGTGCAAGCTACTGGGAAGAAAGGAGCCCTATCCCAGTCATAACCAGACCAGTGTGTTACAGTAAATTGGCAAGTAAAATCTTCTAAGACTCATTTTACGGCAGGCATTATTTATTTATCTGGGCACACAGGGAGGATCTTTCTTCTAATCGTGTGTGTCCTGTTTTCCCTCAGGTAGGGAAATATTTACTTACAATTTTCCATATTCATCAAATGTCTTACATATATATGAACTTTCTGAGAGAAGCAGTGTATATGTAACTAGCTCTACGAAGTTCTTCAGAAGTCCTTATTTGATCACTAGAGGTCTTCTGGTGGTCTCTTGGGGGTCTCTGGTGGTTGGTTGGAGCTTGAACTTGAACTTGTCCACTGAGCAGTGTATTTGCAGCATCTTTGCTCAACATCTCTTATCAAAAACTTACTTATGTGACAACTACTCTAACTCAAAGCATTCAGAAACTTACTTATTTTGCAACTACCCGAACAGAAACTTGTATTGTAAAGGCTGGGGGGAAAATTACTGAGCAATGGAGTATTGCTCACAAGTGGGAGCAAGCAGCTAAGTAAGTGGGAGTAAGCTAAGCAGCTCAGATAAATCTGCAGAGCCTCTGCTTTAAATAGGTTTTTCCCAAAGAACTGTCCAACAGAAACCTCTTCCTGGTCCTCAACAACCATTTTTGGGGAGCTCCCCAGAGATGGGGGAACTCCAACTCTCTTTGTTGCTGGAGGAACCTGTCCGTCATAGAGGGGAGGGTGTTGTCAGTTGGCACCTCTGCAGCGTCCTGGGAGCTCTGGGGTGAATGCTGGTGGCTCCAGGACTCTTCCTGCTGTGCTACTTGCTCCTTCACTGGAGCCAGCTGGGCTCCCATTTTTACTTCCAGGCCTTTCCTGGCCACGTGCATCTTCAAGGATGAGCAAGTTCTGCTACTGATACCCGCAGCTCCAAGGGAGCAGGGAGACCTGTCCACAGGGTCTTGTTTGTCTGGAGTCCAGCAGGTCTCACTGAGGCTCCCAGAGAGACAGATGCTTACAGAAGAAGTAAGATGCTCAGAGGAATGTAGGATTTTGGGAGGATGGAGGCTCTTAGAGGAAGGGAGGTTCCTGGAAGGCTTTTAGAGGGAAAGGAAGCTCTCAGAAGGAAGGAGGATCTCCAACAGAGGGAGATTCTTGGCTGGATGGAGGATCTCTGATGGAATGATTTCCTTGGAAGGGCAGAGGCTCTCCAAGGGATGGGGAGTCATGGTGGGAGCAGCCTCTCAGAGGGATGGAGGTTCCCAGAGGAGCTGGAGGAACTGGACAAGCTGTGGCAGGGCAGGTGGCCTCGTTTCACCAGCTCCTGCAGTTCCATCCACAATGGGTTCCACCTGTGTGTGGGGACACCTCTGTGATGTTACAGTCCTGTGGGTGGGGACACCTGTGTGATGTCAGAAACCCCATCCTGGTGCTCATGGCAGCACAAATGGAGGTGTTGGCTACTGGAAAATCTGAGGGTGGAATGGTGAGATCTTTGCAAGGTTTAGTGAAGGCTTTGTAGGAACAACCAGAAAAGGAATGCTCATAGGGATCTGTTAGATGGGAAGCAGTTTGGAGGGAGAGGGAAATGAATCCATTGCTGCAATTGGCCCTTCAGGAGGTGATGGAGCAAGATGAATCTCTGGGAAAGCAGCTGGAAAGAAAAAATCCCACTGCCATAAGGTCACCTGGCTCATGTGCTATGGGAAGGCAGTGCATGTTCTTTTTTGGGATTTTACTCGGAGTTTTGATCACGTCCCTCACAGAATCCTTTTGGAGAAGGCGTCCAGCTTTGAGATGAGCAGGTACAGGGTGTGCTGGGTGAAGAACTGGCTGCTGTATTGCTTTTTGGTGGGATAGAGTTCCTTTCTTCATAGTAGCTGACACAGCACTGGGTTTGGATTCAGAATGGGATAACAGTTGGATGGTTTGGTTGTTGCTGAGCAGCGCTTGCCCTCCTCAAGGACTCTTCAGTGTTCCATGGGACAAGCCATGTCCCATGCTCTGCCAGCGAGGCGGTGACAACATCCTCCTTCTCCTCCTCATGACTGTGTCCTACTTGGCCAAGAATGTTACATCCAGTCTGCTCCAGAGGGGCCTCGAGTGCCCACAGGGAGCCCCTTTCTCCCCCATGAAGCCCTGGTGAGCACTGGGGTGAGGCAGGGCCATGTTATGACACAGATGTCCTCTCCCACAGGACTGACATCACTACACAAGAGGTGCCACCACCTCCCAGCTCCCAGTGTGGTCACGATGGGCCGTGTTGGAGCCATGAGCGATGGCAGCATCCTCCTCTCCTTGTTTGTCCTGCTGCTGGCCACTGCAGCTGTCTGGCTGGCCATCGGCCACTGGCAACAGCGGGTGCTGGGGACACCGAAGAACCCAGGGAGCCAGGCCAGGGGCTCTCCGAGCAGCCAAGTAGCTCCAGTGGAGGCTCCCAGTTCCTCCACAGCTCAGGCAACCGCTCCCCAGCATCCAGATGCTCCTGTGAGCCCCGAGTACATCCCCTGTGGCTGTGGCCCCAGCTGCACCCCCTGCATGGCAGTGGCCCAGGAGCTGCAGGATTTGGTCATGTCGGTGTGGGTTGGGAATGGGATGTCTTTCCCACTGGATTCTGAGGTGTGGCAGGTGTTGTGGGAGAACCTGGAGGAGCTGGTGGAGCGAGGCCACCTGCCCTGCTGCAGCTCGTCCAGCTCCACCAAGAGCCCCCATTCCTCCAAAAGCCAGCTCCCATGGAGAACCTCTGTCCTTCCAAGAGCCCTCATCCGTCGGCAAGCCTCTGTCTTTTCAATATCCTCATTCCTGCCAAGAACTCGATTCTGTAAGAGATACTCCATCCTTACAAGAAGACCATGCCATGGGAGAGCCTTCATCCCTCCGAAAGCCTCCATTCCCTCCAAGAGCCTCCATTCCTCTGAGAGCCTCCACCTTCCAAGAGCCTGCATTCCTTCCACAGGCCTCCGTTCCCCTGACAGCATGCACCTTTCAAGAGCTTCCATTAGTTCCACAAGCTTCCAGTCCTCTGAGAGCCTCACTTCTTCCCAGAGTCTTCATCCCTACAAGAGCTTCAGTGAGAACTGCCAGACTCCAGATGGAGTAGCCCCCATAGACCAGTCTCCCTGCTCCCTCGAAGCTGCAGATATCAGCAGAACTCACTCATCCCTGAAGATGCACATGGCCAAGGAAAGCCTGGGTGTGAAAATGGGAGCCCAGCCCATTCCAATGATGTGTTCCCAGGAGCAAGCAGCACAGCAGGAAGAGTCCTGCAGCCACCAGTGTCCACCCCTTGACTCTTGGGATGCTGTGGTAGTGCCAACTGGGAACACCCCCTGTGTTGGAGAAGCACAGATGAGCACCCTCAGTGCAAGAGAAGATCCTCCAGTGGCAGAGGAAGTTGCAGATCCCCCATCTCCAGGGAGCTCTCCCCAGCCAGATGTTGAGGACCAGGATAAGGTTTCTGTTTGCAGCTTGGATACTTCTGCAAAGCATCTATGTTAAATAAACCAGCTTCTTCCCGAAGAGCTGTGAGTGCTTCCACTGGTCTGGTTTTGACTGGCACAGGGGAAAAGATCACAAGACAACTGAAGGGGTTCAAGCAGAGTAGTGGGTTCGAGTAGAGTATTAGCTTCAAGCAGCTATTGCCATTTATTAAGGGTGGTTCGCTCTATTTATAGGGTAGGTAGGGAAGGCTCTAGAAAGAGGGGAAGAGCATGGGACTGACAGAGGTTGTAAGCAATCAGGGAAGGAAGGAGGGAACATGGAACTAACAAGGACCAATAAGGGAAACATCTGCATTGCAGCAAATCTTAACCAATGAGAAAATAGCGGATAAACGTGAGGGAAAAAATGCTATAAAACACGGTAAAACCAAGGGTACAATAAATTCAGTGCATGTAGGGTCTTTATATGATAAAGAAATGGAGTCTGCTCCCAGCTGAGGTGGTGGTCAGAGAGAGATTTATTCAAATCCCGCGCTTTCTTTTGTCCCTTGAACTCACGTGACCTTGTGACCAATGAGGGTACATATTTCCACACACGTCACTTGGGCTTCCCTGCCCTGGGTGCTTCCCGTGCACCCCTGGAAATGCCTCCTACATCTCCCCTTTCCTAATTATTTAAGACGGTCATGAAATCAGTGCAAAAAACAACAGTGCAAACAACAGAACAGTGCATTACAAACTACCATAGCTTCGCAATGACCCAGCATATCGCTTGCTTTAGCTTCTTAACAACTTATAAATCTATTGTAAACCTTTAAAAACCTTCTTATATTTCTAAGGGGTAGTGCAACTTGGAAAAATAACTTTATTAACCTAGGGCCTTAGCCCAACTGTGTGTTACCTATAGACTTATAACCTTTATTAATCTGAGGGTTTAAATAAGTGGGAAAGTCAACTTTATTTCAAAAACAGGGTATACTTAGCAAACGAAATTCTCTTAGAGTGACTATGTGGCTGAGGTA